CCATGACAAGCCAAACCCTTGTCATGTCTTTTCATTCTAGTGTTTTTCCTTTTGTAATTCTATAGCGTATGACACCTCAAAAATATCATGTCTACGCCTGCCAGAACTAAAATAGCCCAGAATGTACTATAGGGGGATATGACTAGTCGTCAACTTCTCCCTACCCAAGGTTATATATGCTAAGCCGTTGTTATCTTTCTCTTGCTTGCTTATATAACGTCTCTTTCTAAAATCTCTCCCTCTTCTCGTTTTCTAAAACCTTCTTTTAAAACCGAGGCTAGAGGCTCGACCGTACGTCGCTTGGCCGTAGGCGACGCAAGAACAAATAGGCTTAACTCACTTGTCGCTAGAAAGTGAGTGCCGCACAATCGCTAGTCCGCTGCCTTCGAAAGCGCGATTGTGTCACGAGGTATCAGAGCTTTGTTAGCTCCGTAACGTCATATAGACCGAGATCATGTCGACGACAAAGTCGACACCCAAAGCACAAGCCGACCGGCTTACGCTAATAGAGGAGGAAATGCTGTTCCTCAAAGAAGTCCCTGACACCCTCCGTTTCCTGGAAACACGGGTGACCGAACTGAGTGAGAAAGTCGTCCAAGTCGACGCAATGGGCAACCGCCTGGATGGGTTGCCAATCGCAGAACTATTGTTTCGAGTGACCTCGCTCGAAGAAAGAGTTGCTCCTACGAGCAGCCCAAAACCGTCTGATAGTCCGGATAGCTCTGTCGCACACAAAGAGGGACGTGGCGAAGAGTTCGACGTACTACAAAACACAATGATGAGTTTGTTCAATGGATTGGCTGATGAATTCAGAACAACAGTCGACGACCTCCAAGAAAGGATGGCCGCCATGAGCACTCGAATTGAAATTACCATGAAAGCCGTGGAAGGTGTCGCGGCTGGACAAACCAATACAGGATCCAACAAACTAAGGTTCCCAGACCCTAGAGCCTTCAAAGGGAATCGGGACGCCAAGGAGTTGGAGAACTTCATCTTTGACGTCGAACAGTACTTCAAAGCCACAACGGCTTGTACCGACGACAAGAAGGTGACTGTAGCCGCGATGTATCTCGTAGACGACGCCAAACTGTGGTGGCGTACGAAGGTGCAAGACATCGAGGATGGATTGTGCACCATCGACTCATGGGAGGACCTCAAGAGAGAGTTGAGGGAACAATTCCTCCCCGAAAACGCAGGGCATATAGCAATGGAGAAAATAGTAGCCCTGAAACACACTGGAAACATACGGGACTACGTCAGACAGTTCTCAACCCTGATGCTGGATATCAGGGGCACAGCAGAGAAGGACAAGGTGTTCTTCTTTATAAATGGTCTACAGCCGTGGGCCAAAACAAAGATACATGAGAACAGGGTCCAAACCCTAGCTGCCGCAATGGCCTGTGCCGAGAGACTCGTAGACTGTGGGAACGAAGCAGGATCCCAAAGAAGAGCGACACCAGCCCCAAACAATGGGGGCAAACCATACAGACCACCAGGCCAGCGAAATGGAAGTCCCAACAGACCGAATGGATGGACGGATAGACCTCCTCAGAACAATCAAGCGGGGACTTCTCGAGGGCATTACCATCAAAAGAACCACCCGACGACACCTTTGCAATGCATGCTGTGTAAAGGCCCCCACAAAGTATCATACTGTCCTCATCGGGCCTCTCTCACGGCACTTCAAGTGTCCATTCAAGAGAGCAATGAAGCAAGGGTCGAGACTTTGCTAGACAAGAAGGAAGATCACGACAACCCCCGAATGGGCGCACTCAAATTCTTGTCAGCCCTCCAACGGAAAGTCGAACCGAAGGAGGTACTGGAGAAAGGGCTCATGTTCGTAGATGCCACAATAAACTCTCAACCGAGCAAGAGCACTCTGATAGACTCTGGAGCAACCCACAACTTCATTGCCGATCAAGAAGCCAAAAGATTGGGACTCACCATAGGAAAAGACCCGGGGAAAATGAAAGCTGTCAATTCCGAGGCCTTGCCTATTGTGGGAGTTTCCAAGAGAGTCCCCTTCAAAATAGGGGATTGGACTGGAGAGCTAGACCTTGTCGTGGTTCGCATGGACGACTTCGACGTGGTACTTGGGATGGAGTTCCTCCTAGAACACAAGGTCATCCCAATGCCATTGGCAAAATGCTTGGTGATCACCGACCGTAATCCCACAGTAATACCTGCAAGCATCAAGCAACCAGGTAATCTTCGAATGATCTCGGCCATACAACTGAAAAGGGGACTCGCACGAGAGGAACCTACATTTATGGCCATACCACTGATAGAAGAAGTAACCACCGAAGAGACTGTCCCAGAGGAAATCAAGGAAGTACTATACAGCTATACCGACATCATGCCAGAGAGTCTACCACAAACACTACCACCTCGTCGAGGCATTGACCACGAAATCGAACTCCTTCCCGGAGTTAAGCCGCCAGCAAAGAACGCATACCGGATGGCTCCGCCCGAGCTAGCCGAATTGAGGAAACAACTAGATGAGTTGTTGAAGGCGGGATTCATTCGCCCGGCAAAGGCCCCTTATGGAGCCCCCGTACTATTCCAGAAGAAGAAAGATGGGACGTTGCGTCTATGCATAGACTATAGAGCCTTAAACAAGGTGACAGTACGCAACAAATATCCTCTGCCGATAATATCCGACTTGTTCGACCAACTTCACGGGGCCAAGTACTTCACGAAGTTGGACTTACGATCAGGATATTATCAAGTACGGATTGCCGAAGGGGACGAACCCAAGACGACGTGCGTAACAAGATATGGGGCCTTTGAATTCCTAGTAATGCCCTTTGGCTTGACAAACGCCCCAGCTACATTCTGCACGTTGATGAACCAGGTCTTCTACGAATACCTGGATCAGTTCGTCATAGTATACCTCGACGACATTGTTGTTTATAGCACAACCCTCGAGGAACACAAAGTGCATTTGAAGTTAGTGTTTGACAAGCTCCGGCAGAACCAGCTGTATGTGAAGAAGGAGAAATGTGCATTCGCACAAACATGCATCAACTTCCTTGGACACGTCGTCAGATGTGGACAAATCAGTATGGATAGCGACAAGATAAAAGCTATCCAAGAATGGAAGGTTCCTACTTCCGTATCTGAATTGCGGTCCTTCTTAGGACTAGCCAACTATTATAGGCGGTTCGTCGAAGGGTTTTCACGACGAGCCGCCCCATTGACAGAGCTGTTGAAGAAAGACCACCCGTGGTTGTGGTCGAATGATTGTCAAATGGCCTTTGAAAATCTGAAAACAACCATGACGAGGGGTCCTGTCCTCGGGTTGGTAGATGTCACAAAGCCATTTGAAGTAGAAACCGATGCTTCCGACTTTGCTCTCGGTGGAGTCCTCATTCAAGAAGGCCACCCCATCGCTTACGAAAGTCGAAAGCTCAACGATGCTGAACGAAGATACACTGTCTCCGAGAAAGAAATGCTGGCTGTAGTCCATTGCCTTCGAGTCTGGAGACAGTATCTCTTAGGATCACAGTTCGTAGTGAAGACGGATAACAGCGCCACTTGCCACTTCTTTGATCAACCAAAATTAACAGCAAAACAAGCCCGGTGGCAGGAGTCGTTGGCCGAATTCGACTTCAAGTTCGAACACAAAGCAGGGAAGAGTAATCAAGCAGCCGACGCGTTGAGTCGGAAGGGCGAACATGCGGCCCTGTGCATGTTAGCCCACATTCACTCAAGTAAGATCGATGGATCGATGCGCGACATCATCAAAGAACATTTACACAAAGACCCATCGGCCAAAGCTGTTGTCGAACTAGCTAAGGCTGGAAAGACACGGCAGTTTTGGGTTGAGGGGGACCTCCTGATAACCAAAGGAAACAGGTTGTACGTCCCAAGAACGGGGGAACTGCGGAAGAAACTCATTCAGGAATGTCACGATACCTTGTGGGCCGGACATCCTGGGTGGCAAAGAACATACGCCCTAATAAAGAAGGGGTACTTCTGGCCAAACATGCGAGACGACATCATGCAATACACCAAGACGTGCCTCATCTGCCAACAGGATAAGGTCGAGAAAGCCAAAGTCTCTGGACTCTTGGAACCTCTACCTGTGCCAACAAGACCCTGGGAAAGTGTATCTCTGGACTTCATAACGCACCTCCCAAAGGTCGGGGAATATGACGCCATCTTGGTCATTGTAGACCGATTCTCCAAATATGCGACATTCATCCCCACTCCCAAATTATGCTCGGCGGAACTCACAGCCCAACTGTTTTTCAAACACGTTGTAAAGTTATGGGGCATTCCGTCGAGCATCATCAGTGATAGGGATGGCAGATTCATTGGGACGTTCTGGACTGAGTTATTCGCTTTCTTGGGAACAACCTTGAACATCTCCTCGAGTTATCACCCCCAAACCGATGGACAGACAGAACGGTTCAATTGCTTGCTCGAAGAATACTTACGTCACTTCGTCGACGCTCGCCAAAAGAACTGGATACAATTGTTAGATGTCGCCCAATTTTGCTTCAATTGTCAAACCAGCTCATCTACAGGGAAGAGTCCCTTCGAAATTGTAAGTGGAC